GGGTTCGATTCCTCAGCACCACATAAGCAAAAAGAAAAAAGCTGGAAGTGGCGCTGTGGCTCAAGTGGTAGAGTGCTAGCCTTGAGCTGAAGAGCTGAGTGAGGGACAGCGCCCAGGCCCAGAGTTCAGGCCCCACAACCGGACCCAAAAAAAAAAAAAAAAGTTAAGTTACTCCTGATTTTCTTGTACACACAGAACTAGATAGATGTGTGTCTTTGTTGTTTTTTGGTTTTGGTTTTGTCAGTCATGAGGCTTGAACTCTGGGCCTGGGCGCTGGCTCCTGAGATTTTTTTCATGCAATGCTAGTGCTCTACCACTTGGGGCCACAGCACCACTTCTAGTCTTCTGGTGGTTAATTGGAGATAAGTCTCATGGACATTCCTGCCTGGGTTGGCTTTGAACCATGATCCTCAGATCTCAGCCTCTCAAAAGTAGCGAGGATTGTAGGTGTGAGCTACCAGCACCCAGATTTCTTTTCTTCATGCTAGTACCAGAGCTTGAACACAGAGTCTTACGTTCTTACTTGTTTTTTTCACTCAAGACGTGCTCTACCACTAGAGCTATGCCTCCTCTTCTGGCTTTTTGCTGGTTAATTAGAGATAACAGTCTCTAGGAAGCCAGGTGCTGGTGGCTCATGCTTGTTATCCTAGCTACTCAAGGAGGCTGAAATCTGAGGATCACGGTTCAAAGCCAGTGCAGGCAGTAAAGTCCATAAGACTCATCGCCAATTAACTACCAGGAAACTAGAAGTGGTGCTGTGGCTCAAAGTGGTAGAGTGCTCACCTTGAGTGAAAAAACTCAGGGACAGCGGCCAGGTCTTGAGTTCAAGCCCCATGATGGACCAAAAAAAAGTGTCTAGAATGTGTCTGTGCAGGTGGGTTTGAACTGTGATCCTCACATCTCAGACTCCTGAGTAGCCACAGTAACAGGCATGAGCCACGAGTGTCCAACTTTTCTTGGCTTTTCATAAAAGAAAAATCAAGCACAAAATGGGCTAAGGCTGCCGTGTTCCAGATTGAGTGTCCCTTATCTGAAGCGCTTGGGACTTGTTTGGTTGTGCTTATTTGTCTCCTATATAGATATAAGGAGATGTGGTGCCTTCGAAAGCATCCATCTGGAAACAGGAAATTCATGACTATTCCTTTTTTACCTACACAGAGCCTGAAGGTAATTTTGCACAGTATTTTATTTGACTATAACTATTTGCATTAAGTATGGTGTTTTCTGCCTGTGGTGTCATGATAGTGACCAAAGTTTCAGATCTGGAGTATTACAGATTTTCTACTTAGGGACAGCTAACTATAATTACACAAGGAACTAATGCATAGGAACTTGGGAATACTCCAGAGAATGAATAATACCCAAATCAGTGATCAGTACACATCCCACGAGTAGCTGTGTCTCTGGGCATGACAGCCGGACTCTGAGAGTTCACAGGGATGGCTCCCAGCTCTGCCGCACGGCAGAAATCACTTTCAAACCAGAACCTCAGGGGTAAGGCCAGGCTCTTTACTTTTTCAAAAGCTCCCTGGGTGATTCTGAAGTGTAGCCAGTGCTGACTCACTGCTTTCCAAGGAAGGGTTAGCCTAAGAACCCGCAAGGAGCCCTCGGGGGTGATAGATAATGCGTGGAAACTCCAAACCTGGTATCAAGTGTGATGCCACCATTGCTCCCATTACCACCAGCGCCTCCTACTATTTGCTTCCACAGCCTTTCAGGTACAAGGCACTCAAATGAGGAAGAATGGCCCAGAGGACTCCCCAATCCTAAGTAACAGGAAGTATCTCCAAGGCCTGCCTGCCTATCAATTGTCTCAGAAGAATATTAGTTAAATGTGCCTTCGTGTGGGAAAGAGCTATGAATACTGTTAAGTTGGATACTCTGCCCGAAAGACTTGACCCACAGGCCCACAGCCTCGTGGATGGCGACAGAGGACCAGAGCGCCCCTCTCCCCACTGCACTCCTTCAACACTAGCCTGGACTAACCAGCATCTCCGCCTACCTTTGGTGTCTCTGATAACAATGGCGTTCAACAACCCCTTTCCTCGCACAGTGGCTACGACATCCGAGGGAAGCTTCTGGAGCTCACTTCTCAACAGAGTCCCCATTTTTTCTGCATTTGCTGCGAGGTTTTCTTCTTCTAAAACCTACATGAAAACAAACATTACATAAATGCTAAGGGGTTTGAATTGTTCCTTGGAGGGCCTATACACACAGGAAATGTATGATGACACCAATAGCCATGGGAACTTAACTCCATGATAACACTAAGCTATTCCTCCAGCCCTTTAAGTCCTTTGAAGGCCTGCTGCAGAGCCAGAGAGGCTTAGTAGGAGGTCACAGTGTGTGAGAGCAACCAGGGCCAGCTAGGGCCCCAGGGTCCTAAAACCTCGAAGGAAACGCACATCTGCTAGGAAGGCAACCAGTAAACTTTTTTAGATTGCCTTGCTACTCCACTCTTTCCTCTGAACATCATGTTCTTTAATAACTGGCATTTTTAATGTATTTTTTTGTGTACCAGTACGGGGGCTTGAACTAGGGGCCTCATAAGCTCTCCAGGCCGGCGCTCTACCACACAAGCCACAACTCCACTTCTGGCTTTGTGCTGGCTAACTGGAGGTAAAAGTCTCTGGGAGTTGTATCCTCAGGCTGGCTTCAAACCTTGGTCCTCAGAACTCAGCTTCCTAAATATGGAGGATTACAGGCACGAGTGAGCCATCAGTGCTCAGCAACACTTGACATTTTTTCTAAATTTCTCCTTACACCACGGACCAAAGTGAGAACTTGTTCACCAGCACTTAAAGGCGCTCCTGTCAGCCACAGCAGTTTTTACCTCAAGGGCTGCAATGGCCACCCGGCAGCCCAGCGGGTTCCCACCGTAGGTGGAGCCGTGCTCCCCTGGTTTAATGGTCAGCATGATCTCATCATCACACAGCACGGCAGACACCTGCAAGACAGCCAGTTCCCCGCTCATTGCTCAGAGCAGCAACACACATGCTTACATGCAGTGGACAATACATTCCCATCAAAAACTTCAACAAGCACAAGTTTACATCTGTCCCCCAGAGTGATAACCTGAGACATACAGAACAGTTTTGAAACTTACGGAAAAAAGCTGTTTTGCAATGACAGACTTCACAGCACCAAGGTAAACTTGGTCTAACTGTTCAGTAAACTAAGTTGTGCATTCACCTCAGCAAGAGGGTCTAGCTCAGCAGAAATGACCTGGAAGTGGCCTTCCAACCAGTGCCAGTTAGGGCTCTGGATAGCAAGGCCAAGAAAAGAGCAATAACACTTCTCTAAGCTCCTCGGTCAAACAAGAAGCAGAGCCATGGCTCTGAGCACTGAATAAAAGGAGAGGTAGAAGAAACTTTGAAGACATCAAGCCAAACACCACACACCTCATTCTCAGTCAACATTAACTATGTAGGTCACACAATGAAACCCTAAAATATTCTTAGTGTGGGCATTTGGTGGCCTATAACCCACTTGGTAAAAGCAAACCACTCAAAAGGCATTAGTGTCACCATCAGTGGGTATAAAGACTTATTTATTTTCTGTTATTCCCTCCCCTAGTTCTAGCCACTGCTGATATAAAAGTATTTTAGATAGATATTTCAAGAGAAGAAAGGAAGGAAAGACAGAGTAGACACAAGACTTACAGGGTATAACCCGCCAGAGAGCGCCTTCCCGAGAAGAACTATGTCAGGTCTGACATTTTCATGATCAACAGCCAGCCACCTCCCAGTTCTGGACAATCCCGTCTGTACTTCATCAGCAATGAACAAGGCCTGTTGGGAAGTAACACAGCAACATTACTTGTCATTTGTTTCTATGGGGACCACGACTTCACTTCCTTCTTCCCACAGATGTGGAATTCTGACATGGCCTCCAATCTATGAAAATGTTTTAACTAACCACACTAAAGCTACCAGCACAACTATGTTTATTGCAGCATTATTTACCATAGCTAAGATATGGAATCAACCCAGATGCCCCTCAGTAGATGAATGGATCAAGAAAATGTGGTATATATACACAATGGAATTCTATGCCTCCATCAGAAAGAATGACATTGCCCCA